AGCAACTCAGGAGGCCAGGCTTATGTCAGAATTAAAGAAAAACCTTAAGGTTGGCTCTTAAGGCCCAAAGATCCCATTTCTCACAGGAAGTGCCAAGTGACAGGCCCTGCTCGCCCTGCTTGGCCAAATGCTGCATTTCCCTCCTCCCCTTTGGTCCCACCCCACCCACATTGCCATTTCGGGTCTTCAGGGGAGGTTTGCTTTCTGTGGAGCCCAGAGCTCCTACAACCTTACCCAGTGGTGCCTCTGGATGCAGAGGTGGGCAACCTGTCATCCCTCTGCAGTGCCCACCTCTGAGGCCACCTCAGTTCTGCTGACCTCACTTGCCCTCTACCTGCCATCAGGACATGAACATCAGGCACTGACTTTCCCTCTATCCTGGAGCCACTGAGCTTCTATGTCACTCTGCTGCTGACCTGCCCAGTGGTCCACACTAGACCTCAGCTAGTCCATATGATGACCCCTTCTACGGAGGAGATTGATCTCCCAAAGATTCAGACCACACTTTGCAGAGAGAGATGTACCCTTCCTTCTCATGCTTAGACAACCAACTTAGGCTTGGTTGGACGCTGTCCCACATTGAGGTCAGAGCGACATCTGCACAGTTCTCACTGGGGGGTGGCAGGCCTAGAGCCGCTCTGCCATCTAGACCTCCACCCTTCACTTGCTCACAGCTCAGCCCCAACCCTCTTGTCCTTGCCCCCATGGCTCCAACTGTCACTTCTGTATGGACACTCATGTCATCTCCTGCCCACTCGGCTTCCCAGCTAACTGACAGACTTCTGCCCCCAAGATTGTCTCAGGCAACTCCAACCTCACACGTCCCCCTTCAAACTCCTTACCACTGTCCCTCCCAATCCTCCTGTTTTCTCCAGAGCCCCGTCGTCATGGCTGCTGCAGCTACATGGGCCCAGCCTGCCACCATCGACTTTGCCTTTCTCCTCCCTCATCCTCCACAGGCTGACCCTCTGAACCACCTGCTCCCAGTGCCACTGTTTGGGTTTGTATCCCAGAATGCTGCACACAGGACCCCAGGAGGCACACGCTATGAGGGGCAGGGAGTGGACAGCACTGTCAGCCTTCTGCCCACCCACTAGTTATGGAACAGTATAGACCGGGCACTGCTCATGGCAGTGGAGACACAGCAGTGAGTTGAAAAAGCCCATCCTAATAGGAGAGGAAAATAACCTAAAAAGCCAAATGCAGGTGCCAGAGTGCTGTGGGAAGAGGCGTGGCCAAACAAGGCAGCCAATCCCAAGTCAGAGTACAGTTCTATAGGGTGGTCTGAAGCCCTCCTCCCTGGAGCAAACCCACAGTGGTGGGTTTAGGTCAACCATCAATGTCAAATGGAACGTCATTTCACTCTCAGAAGATACACCCTCAGTTTTGGTAATAAAAATCCAGGGACTTTCTTTCTTAATCCTTTAAATTGTAAACATTAGTTGCTCCCAAGGATGGAGACTCAGTGTTTAGGGAAACAGGGTGGGAGTCTTCTGCTTACCAGCCTTTTGTTTTCCTCAGTTTTGAACTATGTGAATGTATTTCCTTTGTTGAAAGGAAAAATTGAAAATAGGAAACATTCCAACAGACTTGTGGAAAGGATTTAATCACTTTCTTAGAGCAACTTCCCCAAAGGGTCTGTTTTCCCACCTGACAACTTCTGCTGAACATAGAACCCTCCAGGTGAGTGGCTCCCACTTTATGCACAGCCGCTCACCCACCTGTGAGTGGCCCATCCTGTGCTAGCAGTTTAGGTGGACCAGGGTAACCACTGCCACACTGTGAGGTGGGCATCCTCCCCATGGTAGGGCAGACTGGGGAGGTTGAAAATTAGGACATTTGCTGGGAACCAGCAACTCCTCTGGGCCTCATCCTTCAGGGGCTTTTCCTTTTGGCCATTGCAACACTTGGACTAGGTCATACTCCTGACCTTCATTTTCATGACTAATTAATCACAGCTGCATCCTATTTGGAAAGCCATGGACAAACGGTCACACTGAAACTCCCTACTATAGAGGGTCCACAAGGGAAGATTCAACCAGCAACCTGGTTTTGGCTATGCCCTTGGTTTTTCTTCTGGTGAAGCTGGGGTCAGAAAGAAGGCATTGCTAAGTTGGCTCCATGATGACAGAGATGGTGGGAAGAGCTGGCTTCACACAGGGTAGAGGCCTGAATGCACAGGGATTTGGGAGGATTCAGGATACCCTGACCTGGTCCTCAGTGTGGCAATGATATTCCTCAGGGCCACTAACCAGGCCCAGAGGAAGACAGGCTGTGTGGAGCATGGCCTAGTAGGACATGATGTGTTCAGCTAGGGGATGGTAAATGGATTATTGTCCTTTAAATATTCCATCACAAAGTCACTCATTCCAGCCCCACAAATCCAGGCCAGCAGTCAGATTCCCGGGTCTCAATCATCTGACCCTATCAAAGACGCTCACAGAGCCAACAGTAGTGAGCACAGCCAAGTGTCTCTCCCATATTCACAGCCTAGAATTGACTATGACTCTCACCAGGAACATAGCTGGGTAATCGAAGAATTTTAGATTTTAGTTAGTGGCAGTGAACACCAAAGACCCAGTATTCTCTATAACCTCAGGAAACCCTTAAACTGAGGAGTCCCAGGCCTCCCAGGGTAAATTCAAACCTAGCCCTTATTTTCATAACTGACATCTCTCAGCAGCAAAATCCATACCATTCTCCAAAAAACAGGCCAAATTTTTTTTTTTTTTTTTTGTGGGAGGCTGGGTTTGAACCCACCACCTCTGGCACATGGGGCCAGCGCCCCACTCCTTTGAGCCACAGGTGCCACCCCCAACTTTTATTTTTTTTAAAAGATATTTATGACTTTGCTGATAGTAGGCTAGAAAGCTAGCTGACGTACAGGAGCACCAACTGGTCACTGACCAATAAGAAACCAGGTTGAAGCTTTATGCTCTTTTGAGAGGCAGTGCGAGGGCTGTTTCTGGATGCTCACTTTTAAATCTATAGGACCAGTGATTTGGGAAACCACTGGTTTCTGGCAGGCAAAATATGTGAAAGACTGTCCCAGGATATCTGGCATGTGTCGATGTCCTGCAGTAAAACCGCATAACAAATGAACTAGAAAAAAGGGTGCAGCTCTGTGACTCTCAACTTACCACATAGAAGTTTGGGCTTTGGCTTGTCAGTTAAAAATGGAGGGATGTAGAGGGTCCCTTTAGCTTGTATGCTCTGCATTGAGGTCACTGCTGATTACCTTAGAAAAGCCAGCCTTTTTTTTTTTTTTAAGACAAAAATCTCACTCAGGTCACCTGACTAGAGTGCAATGGTGTGATCATAGCTCACAGCAAGTTCAAACTCCTGGGCTCAAGTTATTTTTCTGCTTCAGCCTGTACAGTAGCTGGGACTATAGATACCCACCACTAAGCTAATTTTTCTATTCTTTTTTCTTTTTTTGTAAAAATGGGGTATTACTCTTGCTTAGGCTAGTCTCAAACTCCTGTCTTCAAGCAATCCACCCGCCTCAGTCTCAGAGTACTGGGATTAAGGCAGGAGCTACCACGCCTGGTCCTCAAGCCTGTTTTTATCAGTTTACTTAATCCCTTTGAGACTCAGTTTTTCTTTTCTTTTACCGTGTCTCCCCAAAGTAAGACCTACCCCCCAAATAAGCCCTAGCAGGATTTCTATGCATTTGTTAAATATAAGCCCTACCCCGATAATAAGACCTAGTGATGGGCGTGGCTATGTAGGTATCTGCATAGCCACGCCATGCATTTCAGCAGGGAGCAGTAAGGAAGACTGGAATACCTTAAAAATTAAGACATACCCTGAAAATAAGCCTTAGTGTGTCTTCTTGAGAAAAAATAAATATAAGACACTGTCTTATTTTCAGGGAAACACGGTAATAAAAGACATGGTCTCACTATCACCTAAGCTGGAATGCAAATGGTGCCATCTTAGCTCAATGCACCCTCAATTTTCTGGGCTTAAGCTATCCTCCCACTTTGGTGTCCTGAGTTACTGGGACCACAGGCACCCACCACTATACCTGGCTAATTTTTAATTTTTTTAATAAAGATAAGGTCTCCTTATATTGCCCAAGAAAGGCTCCCACAGTGCTGAGATTATAGGGAGTCTACTGGGTAGTCTCAAATCTTAGTCCTGTGTGACCTAGGAGCAGGTTACCTGACCTTTCTGATCTACCTTCTTTACCTGCAAAATAAGAATAAGAATGTCTGTTGTAAGGGTTATTCCAAGATCTTGCTTATGCCAACTTATAAATGTAAACTGTTTCTGTCCTCGTTTTCTGATTCCACAAAAAATGTGAATGTGCTAAAAATGTCAAAAAACACCCCCAAACCTTTAAAAGAATGCTATCAGAGGTTTTGACATCAGATCTATTCACTTGTGTTTCCATCTTCCAACACGAGAGGCTTAACTTTTTCTTTTCTTTTTTCGAGACAGAGTCTCTATGTCACCTTTGGTAGAGTGCTGTAGCATCACAGCTCACAGCAACCTCAACCTCTTGGGCTTAAGCAATTCTCTTGCCTCAGCCTCCCAAGTAGCTGGGACTACCACAACACCTGGCTATTTTTTGGTTGTAGTCGCCATTATTGTTTGCCAGGCCCGGGCTGGGTTCAAACCTGCCAGTCCCAGTGTATGTGCTGGTGCCCTAGCCGCTGAGCCACAGGCGGATGAGCCGAGAGGCTTAACTTCTGATTACCAACCACCCACCTCTGAGGTTGTCAGAGGTACTGAGGAGGACAGGAGGTGTCAAGGAACAATGGGCACAGACCACAGGAAGCTTTTCAGAAGCAGGAAACGTGGCCCTGAGGGCACGCTCTCTGACTCACTCTGTGATGGCTCTTGGGGTCTGAGGACAGTCTGGTCTCCACCAGCAGGTCTGGGAGGTACCCTCTTGGCTCCCTAATCTCAGCACAACTCAGCACCACACCTGAGCCATGGCCTCACAGAAAGTAGGGAAGCAGTTTTAGCTCCAAATTAACCACAAAAGAAACTCATCACATGTAAACATTTATGGGTCTCCAGAGCTCTGGGAGAACATCACCTGAGGGAACACGGGCCCAAGTTCAGGAGGAAAGAGGTGGCACTGCCCCCACAGGGGTGACCCCAGCTCACGCTCTCCTGCTCCCCCCAGGAACTGGGTGAGGTGGCCATGGGTCTCCTTTGCAGGCGACTAGTAATTCATAATACAGCAACTGAACCTTCTGCTCCCATGAGGAGAATGTATTTTAAACTTGGGAAGGGTCGTTATTCTGGGATATTCCATGTTGTCAGCTTTAACCTTCCACAGACCCAGGGCCTCTCTCTACATGGCGGACTTCTCTAGCAAGCCTGCACGTGTGTGTGTGTGGGGTGCTCTCCTGTCAGTTGAACTGTGGTAGGCACAACTAGGTCTATGACAGAATTGCATCCTGCAAATAAATACCTGGGGGGACAGAACTGTGATGACAGGGGAACACATTCTGCAGGTGGTGGTAAACAAAGGGTATAATGATTTTAGTAGAGCCAGCAGGTGACTCTGGTTCTAATGAAACCTACCCTTACTTGCTACTCCCCAAGGACCGGCCCTTTTCTAACAAGGGCACCTCACCACCAAGTAAATGCTCTAGGAGCTCAGAAGCTTGTGGTGCTCAGGCAGGATGGAGACTCGAGTCAGAGAACGTGCTCAGCCCTCGTAGGGGTTTTGGGATGCAAGGGGGCCTGCTCCATGCAGGCCTGAATCCCTGGAAGTGGGTGTGTGTGAGAGGTAAAGGTGCAGGGCCTGGCTGTGCATGTGAGAACCAAGCCCGCCCAGGCAGTATCCACATGAACCCCCTCCATGCCACACATCTTTCCCAGACAGGAAGGTGCAGGGCTCAGTGCTTGAATCTTCTAAGGCTCAGAATGGGCTGTTTCCAGGCTTGCTTGGGTTTGCTTGTTTTAAGGACACCAATTCAGACCAACTCTGAACCTTCAGACAAACTGGGACAGGTTGGGGACTTTGATATTGAGATCACCAATGTTGATGTTCCGAGGAATCTCAGGAAGGTTGATATTTTTCACGGCAGATACAGCCCGTGCAGGGGCTGCTGAAAGGCCACCCTGAGGAGAAATAAGAGGTGGGTATGAGACAAATTCTCAGTGACATGTGCTTAATGCTAAAAAACTAAAACCAAATGAAAAAGTAACAGGTAAGGGAGGCCTAGAAAAATTTAAAACTGACCACACACAACAGAAGTTTTAATTTTTCCTCTTTGTTCTTCAACAAAGAATGTAAACAAAGCAGTCTCCAGATGGGGTTTGGTACTGGGTCTGAAGCTGGCACTCACACCAGCCAACAAGCCTGTCAAAGGCAGATGTGTCTCACGTAGCCTTAGCACCCAAGTGCCTGGCAGTGCCTGGCTTATGGCAGGTGCTCCGTAAATGTGTACTGGCATTACACGCGCCCGCCACAATTGCCCAGCTATTTTTTGGTTGCAGCCATCATTGTTGTTTGGTGGGCTCGGGCTGGATTCGAACCCGTCAGCTCAAGTGTATGTGGCTGGCGCCTTAGCCGCTTGAGCCATAGGCGCCAAGCCACAAAAGATGTTAATTATTACACCACGTTAAGTGTCACCCTCCTTTTTTCCAGAGACTGAAAATTCATTGATGAATGCAAAGTCAGGGAAATTCCTTTTTTTTTTTTTTGAGACAAGAGTCTCAAGCTGTCACCCTGGGTAGAGTACCATGGTGTCACAGCTCACAGCAACCTTCAACTCGGGCTCAAACGATCCTCTTGCCTCAGTTTTTTCATGCCTCTAGTTTTAGTAGAGACAGGGTCTCAATTTTTTCTCAGACTGGACTCAAACTCTTGAGCTCAAGCAATCCACCCGCTTTTGCCTCCCAGAGTGTTAGGATTACAGGTGTGAATCACCGTGCCCAGCCCAAGGAAATTCTTAAAAGGAACAGGAACTTCACAGCTCTAGTGAGCTGCTTGCCCACTAACAATTTGAGACAGAAAAGGGCTGGCTCTGGGGATGTCGTGCACAACAAGCTGGGAGGCACAGCCATGTGGGAGGCAGGTGTGCCACAGACACAGGAGGTAACCAAGCACAGAGTGAAGACGTCTGTGCCAACTCTCACCCTCCAGGCTTACTCAAGCATGGAGAGATGGGAAAAAGTTGACCAAGATGTTCTCAAAATCATCTTTCCCATACTGACGACTTTCAGGATACCAACTCCAAATCCACCCGTACCTAGTTAAGTCTCTACTTCTCATTTCTAACCCCCATGCCTCTGACTCGCTATTCCTGGAAGCTTCCCAGCCTGCATTTCTAAAAGAGTTATCACTGCCACAATAGCTATGGTTTGGAAAAGCTTCTTCAGCAGGATTGCCACTGTTCAAGAAAGAATTATTCCTGGTTTCGCAAGCTCAAGTTCCGTTACACAAAGCTAAAACCTCTTTAAGACACTCAGATAATTAGAGGTACATTGTTCTGTGTGCAAAATATCTGTACGTAAAAGCAAATATCTGTGTGTAAAAGCAAATGTCTATAATCTCTGCTGCCTAGTAAAGCTGAGGAAGGGAATGGAGAATCCTCAGGGATAGGACAGAGGTGAATGTCTCCATCAAGCCCAGTACCATGTGGTTGAGTGGTTATTTCCAAACCCAGCCCAAACGCGACTATAGCTTTTTATAACGTTGCCTGGAAATAAGGGAACTGGTGGCTCTGAAAGACACCATGAGAAATGGCTGCCAGATGCCCAGACTCAGAAACGAGGAAACCACACTAGAATTAGAGAAGGAGGTCCTGGGTCCCTCTGCGGAATATGCAACTTTGAAAGGAGAAATTATGAACCAAAAACATGGGCCACAATTCCCTAAGCCAGAAGGTGTCTGCCTTCCTCTGCCATGTGGCTTTTCCATTCATACCTGTAGCCTGAGAGCCTGAGATTTCAAACCTCATTACCTATTTAATTTTCACAGCTGACCTTCAAACTTTTCAGTTTCGATGGACTCCAGGAAGAGAAGATGAGTATAAAAATTTCTTAAAGTTCCACAGCGACAGAAACCAATACACAGACATGCTCCTCCCTCTGCCCGAGACTTCCCTCCCCAGCCAGAATGGGGCTCAGCTGCCTACTCACCTCCGACTTCTCCAGCCTGTTTTGAGATTCAATCTGTGCCACGATTTCATTCATATTTGTTTCTAACACCATCCCGCCCATCACCACCTCCTGGAGGATGTAGTGTACCTACAAGGGAAGCAAACGTGAAGAGGATGAGAATACTCATGGCAGACACTCAAAGCAGAGAGGCGGCAGCTGAGTACAGGCTATGAGACCAGACACATCTTGCTTGCACTCCAGCTCTGCTCTGTAGAGCCGATGACCCTCTCAGAGCTTCACCCTCCTTCCAGGACCATAGTGAGGACTGGATGAGATTAACTGGCGTTAAGCACTGAGCCTGGTGCACAGGACATACTTTTTTTTTTTTTTTTGAGACAGAGTCTCACTTTGTTACCCTCGGTAGAGTGTGTAGCATCATAACTCACGACAACCTCAAACTCCTGGGCTCAAGTGATTCTCTTGCCTCAATCTCCCAAGTAGCTGGGACTACAGGTGCCCACCACAACACCTGGCTATTTTTAGAGATGGGGTCTCGCTCTTGCTCAGATTGGTCTTGAACTCCTAAGCTCAGGCAATCCACCCACCTCGGCCCCCCAGAGTGCTAGGATTATCGGCGTGAGCCACCGTACCCGGCCTGATACACTGGGTTTTAAGTAGGTTAACAATAGTTTTATCACCAATACTGACTGACTAATTTAAGTAGGTCCAGCTATGACAGAATAAAGCCCATCCAGGAAGCTAATTGGATATGTTTCAGGTTCCACAGGATAGATCCTCCAGCCTGTGCTGCTCCAGGGAGGGAAGTGATCAGAGTAACATATAGCCCTTTCCTTTATCTTCACCCTCACCATATTTCTTACGGCTTAGACAAGAAAGCAGGTTCAGCATAAACACAGGGTGCTATACACAGGGAAAATGAGAAATTGTAGCTAAATCCTTTATTTACAAGATATTCGTTACAAAATTTTACAAAGAGATGGCCAACACATACAGGATATTTTGCAGATATTGTGTAAAATTGTGTCTGGGCTCTGACATCAGAGAAGCAGGGAAAAGGATTTCAGGTGGAAGGCACTGAAGAGGCACATCAGCTGGTATAAGACAGGCATGGAGAGCTCCACTTATACAAGTGACAAGGCTGAGAAGGCAACTGGGTAGAGCGGGTCTTCTTAGCCTGAGTGCTAGTGACCTGTCCTGTGCACTGCAGCACACTCAGCAGCGTCCCTGGTCTTTCCTCACTAGATGCCAGTAGCTCCCCTTCAGGGGCAACAACCGAACATGTGTCCGGACATTGTCACGCATCTTCTGGGAGCAAACTCACCCCAGATGAGAACCACTGATCTCCAGTCTACAGTCAGGCACCCACTCACACTGTAGAGCAATGAAAAACTGAGAAGGAAGTTGTGCTCACAGGTTCGTGTGCCTGTGAGGGTCCTGCATGTCTGCACACCTGTGCAACCCTGCAGGTCCATACACCTGTGTTACCCTGCAGATCTGTGTACCTGGGCGACCCCACACATCCACACGTCTGCACAACCCCATGAGTTCGCACACCTGTGTGACCCTGATGCATGAAGTTCCCTGGCACAAAGTTCTCTACATTTTCCTGAAGTAGAAGGTGGAGGGTGTGTATTAACAGAGGTAACTAGGGGTAACTAGGGGCATTTCTTCTGATATTGGGAACTAAGTATAACTCGGATATACAAGTATATATCCAAGTATAACTCCCTCATATGTGCCCACAATGAGCCTTCTTAAACACTTTGTCTAAATACACACACGCTCTCATGAGGTGTTCTTGTATTTTATATTATGTGAATTGTTGCCTATACATGCAAATAAGATCTAATGGCAAAAGTTTCACATTTAGATATTTACAAAATGTTAAACAAAACTGGTTTCAAAATTATTCCCTAGGAAAAACTATTATTTATACTTCCCCATCAAGAAATAGGCCACTAGCCAGGCACAGTGGCTCATACCTAAAATCTCAGCATTTCAGGAGGTATAGGTGAGAGGACTGTTTGAGGCCCCAAGAATTTGAGACAGCTACCATCTCTTTAAAAAAAAGAAAGAAAACAAAGAAAATTTTAAAAAGATACAGGCCTCTGAAAACAGTATGATCATTCCCCCAAAATTAAAAACCGAATTACCATATGACCCAGCACTTTCACTTCTGGGTTTGAGGTATATGTCAAAAGGACTGAAAGCAGGGATCTGAAGTGAGATTTGTATGCCCATCATCATTCACAGCAGCATTAGTCACAACAGCCAAAAGGTAGAAGCTACCCAAATGTACACCAAAAGATGAATAAGTAACAAAAGGTGTTATACACATTTTATTATATATAAAATTATATATATTTATACAATGACCTTAAAAAGGAAGGATAAAAAAAGATGAATTAATGCCATTTGCAATAATCTGGATGGAACTGGAGACCATTCTCGTAAGCAAAGTTATCTCAATAATGGAAAAATAAACACCACATGTACTCACTGTTAAACTGGAACCCGTAAGCCCACATGTGCACAGGGAGAAGGAAAACTCAGTGGAAATCAACTAGGGGGAGGGGGAGAAGGGGAGGGGAAACAGCCAACCTAATGGGTAGAGAAGATGGTGTCTTGGTGATGGACACCCACAGACATGAGTCAAGTGTCACAGAACTACCCAGGCAACCAAAAAAATATGCACTTCCTTAATATTTTTAAAATGATTTAAAAAGGGGGG